GAAAGTAAGAGGGACAGGCAAGAGAGTGGGGAGGGGAGCAGGTGTGCCTTGAGCACCAAGAGAAAGGGAGGGGTGATTTTCACCTGTTTATGGAATTTAAAAAGTCCCCAGAGGCTCCTGTTATGTGCTCCAAACCAAAAAAGGGAGGGAGGGGATGCAGTTGTGCCACTGCACCCCCTCTGGATCTGCCCCTGCCCTGTCTCTACAGGGAGGAGGGCAGTAGGGGGCATTTTCTTCTTAGCTGTATGCCACTGCTGCTTCTGCTGTGAGGAAAGCACTCTGAGCAACTATTTTCTTCTGCATCTCAGGGGAGAGATGAATGAGTAACTGGGTGCTTCATTATCTGTGTGTCTGCTGGGCTTTTGAAACCCAGGAAGAACAGGATGAGAGTTAAGCTCTACCTGCATATCAGAAACACCTTGCCAAAGAAGCCCTGGCAGTCCAGGAAAGAAGCTGAGAAATAGCAACCAGTTAGGGTTCCTTAATTGTCTATCCCTGGGGTGTCGGAGTAAGTAGGTTCTTCTGAGCTAGATCCAGACTGCAGGGGTCCAGTCCAGCTCTGGCACTGAAATGCTGGATCCTGACCAAACACCAGCAGCAGGGTGGTGGTGATATTAATCCCCACGGGTACGTTTTACACCTACTTCATTTTGATATATATTTAAATTTCATAGAATCAGTGGGTTGGAATGAGACAGATCATTGAGTCTGACCCCCTGCCATGGGCAGGAATGAGCGCTGGGGGTGGGAGGGGTCATAACACCCCAGCAAGGTGCCTATCCAGTCTCCTCGAACATTTCCTGGGAAGATGAGAGTACCATCTCTCTGGGAAGCCTATTCCAGACCCTGGCCACCCTTACAGTGAAGTAGTTCTTCCTAATATCTAACCTACACCTATCCTCCCTCAGCTTGCGGCCATAGTTTCTGGTGACTCCAAGGGGGGCCCTGGTGAACAGACTTTCCCTGAGTCCCTGCTTCTGGCCCCTGATAAGGTTGTAGGCAGCCACAAGATCTCCCCTCAGTCTCCTCTTGAGGAGACCGAAGAGATTCAGGTCCTTCTGCCTCTTCTCATAGGGCTGGCCACGGAGGCCCCCAACCATACAAGTGGCCCTCCTCTGGACCCTTGCCAGATTCTCCACATCCCTCTTGAAGTGTGGCGCCCAAAACTGGACACAGCACCGCGTAGAGGGGGAGCAAGACCTCTGTGGACCTGTTAGTGATGCCCCTGTTGATGCATGACAGGGTGTGGTTGGCTCTGCCTATTGCTTCATCGCATTGGCAACTCATATTCATCCTGGAGTCAGTCGTGACTCCAAGATCCCTCTCTGCCTCTGTGCTGCCGAGAGGGTCAGCCCCTAATCTGTAACCATAATGCTGGTTCCCTCTCCCCAGGTGCAGCACTCTGCACTTGTACTTGTTGAACAGCATCCTGTTCAGATCCACCCACTTCTCTAATCTATCCAGGTCTGCCTGGATGCAGTCCCTGCCTGCCGGTGTATTCACTTTACCCCACAGCTTGGTGTCATCAGTGAACTTGAACAGGGTGCTCTCCACATCCTCGTCCAGGTTGCTAATGAAGATGTTGAACAGCACCGGCCCTAGGACCAAGCCCTGGGGGACTCTGCTGCCCACACCCTCCCAGGTCGACTTCGACCCGTTCACCACCGCCCTCTGGTTGTGCCCCTGGAGCCAGTTTGCCACCCATGTGACTGTGCATTCGTTAATGCCGCAGTCCCTCTGCTTGCCCACCAGAATTGGGTGGGACACTGTGTCGAAGGCCTTCTGGAAATCCAAGAAGATGACATCGACTTTCTCCTTCCCGTCTAAGCTTTTTGTTACCTGGTCATAGAAAGAGACCAGGTTAGTCAGGCAGGATCGGCCTGGCACGAACCCATGTTGGTTACCCCTCAACATCACTTCACCTGCAGGGCTCTCACAAGTATGGCCCTTGATAATTTTTTCAAAGGCTTTCCCCAGGATAGAAGTAAGGCTGACTGGCCTGTAGTTGCCAGGCCCTTCCTTCCTCCCCTTCTTGAAAATAGGGACCACATTGGCCCTTTTCCAGTCCTCAGGGACTTGGCCCAAGCAACGGGAGTCCTCAAACAGCCATGCCAATGGCTCCACAATATAGAGTCATAGGGCAAAGCTAAGTAGCATGGGACTACTGAGGTCAAGAAGCTTTGCAGGTCACAGTTTTTGCTGTTAAGTTTGTGTTTTCCTTTTAATTCTTTTCCCTACTTGAATATGTTCACATTTAGTAGCTGCTGAAGTAGTATTATTAACATCATGATAGATAACTTTGTCTCTAGAACTAAGATAAGATCTTGAGGCTTCTTCCCTCTTAACCCCGCACTGTACATTTGTAGGGCTTGTTGTACCACAGTGGCAGGAGGCATGCCCTGATATGAAGCCTTTGGCTGTCAAATGACAGCCCAGGAGAATGGTTGCCTCTGTACCCCTAATTATGGATAAATCCATGGTTGAAGTCCTTTTGTAAGAACAGACATGACATTTAAATTAAGTTAATATGAAGATTTTTAGATGAAATTTTAAGAGAATTTGCCTAATGGTTGGGTGTTTAAATGTTTCATTTATCCTTGCAATTAGTAAATTTGTTAAAAGTCGCTTAGATAATATGAATTCTTTCACAATATTAACAACAAAAAACAGAACTAATGTCATCTGCAACTTTTCCAGTGTTCCTAATTATGGCATTTTAAATATCCAGTCTAACTAGAAGAAAACCAAAGAAAATGTTTAGTGTATGTTTAAAGATGTGTTGCATATTTGAACCATGAAATATTGACAATAGCCTACTGTGACATGTTTTAGAAGTCAGTAGCTGTAGTATTGTGTGGGCATGTACATAGCCTCTGACTGTTTGTTTTGTTACTTTGATGTCAGGTTTCATTAATCCTTTTTTAGCATAAAACAAAGTCAGTTTGAGGTCAAACATAGCTAAAAAAGATGCAGAGCATACTGACTTGAACAAGTTAGACTAAGGTAGACTAGATTGTGATGCTAACTTGTCGTTGGTTTAACATAGCTATGAAGTCAGGCCCTCAGAGCTTTCTAAAAGAGAAGGGGATCTCAGTGTTCTTTATTGTAAGGTTGGAGTCTGAAGATAAATATTGCTGACTAGATGTCTATTGGAAAGATTATACTCCATACACATCTTAAAATGTAACACTTATGAGTTAAATGGCATAATCTAATTTTCTACTAAAAGGAGTCTTTCTAATAAACTTGTTAATTCTACATAATGCATTATAGCTTAAAGGTGATGGGATGATACCAAATTAAAGACAAAATTTATCTCAGAAACTTGTTAAGAAAAATCTGAAAATCCAATTTTGGCTGTCAGTTTTGAAAATTAAGAAATATGATGAACTTAACAAACCTGCTCTTATTTTGAAAGTGAACATATTATTAGTTACTTAGTACATGATGTTATACCACAATGTTCCAAATAAGTCTTAAGTTCTTTTGATCTGGTGAAATTGAAGTTGTTGTTATGGAGATGAAAAATTCTGTGGTTTAGGTTCTAAACCCGGGAGATAATGTGTTACTCAGGCTGGACTACTACTACTCCATCCAAGCAGGGAGTAGAACACACCTTCACAATCCCACATTGTGCTGCAGGGAGACACAGGCTGTCTCTGAGCAGTATGGATCAGCCAATCAGGGCTGCCCTGTGCTCTGCTGCCATCTCTTACTGGGCAGACTGAAGGAGTCTGCAGAGCATACTGAGTTGTGTGCACAGGGGCTGCCTGACTGTCACTGCCCAGCAAACCTAGAGTTTCTGTGGAGACTAACTGGGAACCTCGTGGGCAGGACATGCAGTTGGGTGCATGGGATGGGGCCAACGGCTAGTGGGGAGCAACATTCAGGAGTGGGACAAGCTGGGCCCGGACCTGGAGTAGAGCTGTGGTTCACTTCCCACACATCCCTCCCCACAGAACTGGCGCCCATCACAGGGATGTGCAGGCAGCGGATCACAGCTCTTCATTGGATACCCCTTCCACCCCCCCACACCCACACATTGTCACCACCTTGTGACCCCAACCCCATCCCTCCCCCTTTCCATTGCCTATCCTACTTCTGGACACAACTCCCCACCTACCCACAGTCCCAGTCCATCCTCCAAGCAGAGCATGACCTGCCTTGGTCCCAGGACAGTTCTCCATGGAGACCTCACCTGCCCCCGTTCCATCTTGTGCCCCCAGTGGTGGGGATGGGACGGACAGGCCAGGGAGCCCAGGCTGGGGCTGGCAGTGGAGACTGGCAGCAGCAGTTGGAAGGAACTGCTACTGCCAAGGCTGTTGGAAAGCAAGTCCAGCCACCATGCCACCCCAGCCCTGCTGCATGCCTGGGGGCAGCGGGACAGGGTGCACGTGACATGCTTCGGGCTGCCCTTTGTGCCTGGGCCAAGCAGGGCTGAGGGACCTACCATAGGCTGGACAAAATCCCTTGGCAGGCCAGATTTGGCCTCAGGCTGTATTTTGCCTACCCCTGCTCTAACAATAAGATTAGGAAATTAAAACTTGAGGTTCAAGACTCAATACCTGCAGTGGCTTAACTAAAGGAAATGAAAGTAGAAACTGAGATTTGAAAAATATGAGGCCAAGAGAACATGACAGATGTGTTTTTAGACTCACTTTTGATTACATTTAGTGTCTCTGTATGCTGATGATTTTGATAAAGCTATACAGATAAATGGAGACCTATTAGCACTTGCCAAGTCTTATTTGAAGAATGGTGTTACATTTGTCATTTTCCATTCTTCAGACATCTGATCTGTCAGAGAATTTATGAGCCACAGAGCATAACTTGAAATAAGTGTCTCTTAGTAATGGGTAAACATCACTCTCACTACAGTCATGGTCTGATTTGACAGTAATGTCAAGCTAGTCTAAATTTCTAAGTACAGCAAAGCTTCGCATAAAAATACATTGTTGTGTTAGTTTGTCAATGCAGTCATTTTAATTTTTCTCTTTTAGAATATTCCTGATGTAGATGACGAAGGATACAGTATTAAACCAGAGACAAGTCAGAATATCCTTTTATATAATGCATATACATGGATATGAATATCATATTATCTATTGCAATAACAGTGGAAATAGTACTTGTATGATACTGAGAATATGGAAATAACTAATTAATTGCTAAATATAATAAAATGAAGTTTAGACTTTTGTTACAGCCTCTTGGACTCAAATGTTCACTTGAAAAATTCAGTATTTGTTTTGGTCGCAAAGTAAATTTTAGTGGAAACTTTGAAGGAAATCTATTTCATAGTTTTCAAATTCAAAGGTAGGAATTGGTCAACTTCTGAACTTTAAGATTTTTGATCACGAAATTAAAAATGTCTGGACAGAATAACTACAGTTTACAATTGTTACCATCGTGGCGGTAATAGCAAACTTAAATAATAGTCATTTCTCATGCTGTGTAATCTTCTACCATGGTGGCCTTCTCTTTATGACATAATTTAAGAAGCTGGGAGAACTGTATGTTCTTCTTGGGGAGGTCCTATTGGATGAAATGCAGAGTTAATGCTCCTTTTCTGTGTAATAAGTTTGTTCAGTCAGTTAATTTGCAAAAGGCTTTGGCTGCCATTTTCTTAATTAGCAACCTGCTTTTGTTAATCAGTCATTCCTTTTTCCCTACACTTATTCTCTACATCAGTGAGCCTTGCTTACAGGAGATGTTATCAGTTATTTTTTCAGGGTAGTTTGTGGTTTTCAAGTCTCTCCCTTTTATAGGGGCAGATTCATTCCTTCATTCTTCTCTTATCAGCAATAAAGGTAGGTCGTAGCCAGGACCTCTCAGTACCTGCTACAGATCCAAGCAAGCCAGTTACTTTAGGAAGCTCTCCAGTGTTTTGAGGAACTACCTCTTTGTTGTTTATGATCCAGAGGAGTATAACTAGGTTTAGATCACAAATGTCTGAATTTTTCATCAACTACAAGCACTTTGAAGCAGATAGTATTCAGTCCATCATAGTTTCCTTGGCTTCATTAATGTGTTAGTTGTATGACTACAGATACTCACTGTTCCTTGAAAGATTCCTGCAACTTGCCATAACCCATCAACATTTGCCTCTTGGCATCAGCCACACAAGTGTTTTCAAAGGTCCTGTTCACCCAGCTATACTGTTTCCAAGTTTTATATGTAATTACTTGTTTAAACAGTTGTTTCAAATTGCTAGCCAAACTTGTGAACTGAAATGCATTTTTTGTTTTGTGTAAGTTTATCACGTAGGACAAAAGTGAATTACTTACAGCTCACTGAATGATTTGCTTGAGTGCCCTCATTTACAGTGCTATCTCTTCAAGGAGGGGAATGAAAAAGACAATCAGTCTAGTGGGGAAGCTAAGTGATTTGCAATCCCCACTGGCCATACAGAGCTCCAGCTTCTAGAAAGCACAAAAGTATTCATAGAGTTGATGGTGTTGATGAAGAAACATTCAAGGTCTCTCCTAAGAGTTTCCCTGACTTAGTGGAACGTCAGGTCAAGTGAGAATTTTTTTTCTGATCCAAGCTATATAAACATTCTGTTGGCAGAAACCCTGAAATAAAATTACTAAAAATGTGCTTTTACAGGAACTATAGTGGACAATCATGCCTACCATGGGAAGTCTTCAGTGTTGGGAAGAGAGATGGAGAAATACTGATCCTAATGTCTTCTGACCACCTTCACTGTTTCTGGCACTCAGAACGAGATAACCCAGAGTGGTCTTTGCCTTGACATGGATTTCTGAATCAATTATCTCAGTTCATCACACCAAGTCTAAAAATTTTCACTTAGAAGTTTTTTTCTGGTAGGGGGAAGTTAATCTTGAACCATGATGATGGACATTTTGCTGATGTTAAGTAAGATTCTTGCCTACAATGCTGTCTTTTCAACGTTGAATCCGTTTTGGGGTAGGTATTGGTCTTTCCTTATGCAAAGCTTGTCTGAGTAAGGGAACTCCTTTGAGTGGCTTCTTTGTATACCATATATACTTTTTAGATGCTGTATTGCATGTATTTCAGAGCTTCCACCAATATAGTCCTTGGGTGTAGAATCCCAAGTCCTGTGGTCTGTGTCCTATAGCTAATTCCCCAGATAAGTCTTGCCTCTCGAGTGC